AATATTGTGTGGAGATGATTCGTGACATTTGTGAAATACCGGGGTGATTGTATTGTGTGTGTACTGTTTGTAAGAGTTGTTGTATGAGTGGTTTTGGAAGTATAATCTTGGTTACACCTTTTCGGGAAACTGTATGTAGTCCATTACGATCAATGGTCAAGCTAGACTCTTTCGATGGAGGAGGTTGATGGGTCTTGATAAGGGTGGCGTCCAAGAATCCACAAAACGGGTTACGGGATAAGAGATCTGCTTCATATTGTAGTTTTCCCTTTATGTAGCGGACCTCATATTCGTAACTCGATAGTCGTAAACTCCATCGAAACAGTCTGCCGGACGGGTTTTTGATGGTTTTCAACCACTGTAATGCGTGATGGTCAGAAAATATAGTAAATTTTCTGCCCATAAGATAGATGCGAAACTTCTCCACACTCTCAATGATTGCTAAGCACTCAAGTTCAGAGATGGAGTAGTTTTTCTCGTGTGGTCGCAATGTTCGGCTGAAATATTGAACTGGATATACGTTTCCGTCAGGGTGAACTTGTTTGAGAATGCCTGCTATACCGAGGGTGGATGCATCGCAATACACTTGGCATGGCAGACCTTCTTTGTAAAGGTGTAAAATGGGGTGTTGTGTGAGGTTTCCTTTCAGGTCAATGAACGCCTTTTGACAAGCTTCATTCCAGTTCCACACGACGTCCTTTTTGAGGAGATTGTTGAGGGGTGCTCGCAAGCGAGCGTATTCCGGAATGAATTTGTTATAGACGTTCACAGCGCCTAAAAAGGATTGTAGTGTTTTTCGGTTGTGTGGTTGTTTTATGGCGTGGATAATGTCGGTGTTACGTGTGAGTGGTGTGATTGTACCAGCTGTGATGGTGTAACCTAGAAAATTTATGGATTGCTTAAAAAATTCGCATTTTGCGAAGTTAAGTTGTAACTTCTCCGCTTCGCAAAAGGCGAAAAATTGTCGCAGGTGGTTTTGATGCTCCTCCAACGTGTTGGAGTAAATGATGAAATCATCAAAGTAATGTGCCACACAGTCAAGTCTGTGTCTCTGTAGGACCTGACTTATGGCTCGTTCGTAAATCTGAGGACTGGTTTTTAACCCGAAAGGTAATCGAGTGGGTTGGTATAATCCTTCAAAGGTGGCAAATGCCAACAGTGGTCGAGAATCGGGGTGTATTGGGACTTGCCAATACGCAGAGGATATGTCGGCCGTGGAAAAATATTTGGCCTGTGCGAGGCGGTCTAGGATATCCTCGATTCTCGGGAGGGGATGGACATCAGAGCTGATTAGCTCATTCACCTTCCTATAATCGATACAAAACCGTTTGGTTTTGTCGCGCTTAGTGACGAGGGTGACAGGGCTCGAGAAAGGTGAAAAAGATTGCTCTATGATGCCGTTCTCCAGCATTTGTTGTATTTGGTTACGGATTTCTTGTTGGTCACATATCGGAACACGATATGGACGTATGGTGATTATTTTTTCGGAATTCGTGGGTATTTTTACTGGTGGAATCCGTAAGCATGGTACGTTGAATTTGTCCTGTGAAAAAATGTGAGTGTACCTTTGTAGAAGTGTTGTGAACTGTGGTGTATAATGAGTGTTAGGTGTTGTGTTGTAGTATGTATGTGGTAAAGGGTTTTGTTGTGTATTAGTGTGAGTGTCGAGTTCGTTGTGTGGGTTGGTCATGTGAGTGTTGTGCAACGGTGTGTGATCACCTATGTTTTTGGTATGCGAGTTGTCCCGCTGTGTGGGTGCGTTTTGGGCAGGTTTATAAGTTGAAGTTGTTGTGGTTTGATTATTTGAGGGCATGTAAAAAGGGCAATTGGCTTTAGTGAAAAGGGGGCATGTAGATAAGTGGGGTTTTCTCAATGAATGCACGCAATGGTTGTCATAGGCGGAAAGTTGGGATGTGGGGAAAATTTTTTGTGACATCGCCTGACACTGCCAGTACGTGCATACATTGGACACATGATTAAAATGGTAGGAAAGGGTAGACAATGGGGCGCCCAGCTGGAGTATAGTGCATTTATTAAAATCTATGGTTAATCTGAATTTATGGAGGCTATTGATACTAAGAATTCCGAATGGCAATGGTGCATTTACTACATGGAAGTACTCCTTTCGTGATATTTGTCCTATTGTCAGTGGGATAGCTAGTTTACCCATGGTTTTTGCAAATCCGTTTAAGGTTTGGAGGTGTAGTGACTGTCCCTCAAGGGTTAAATTAGGCAGGTGGGTTTTTAGCATATGATAAATACTATATGGCACTATACTCAGGCTGGCGCCTGTATCAATTAAAAAGGGGCATGATACATTAGGGGTTAGAAAAAGTTTGACAGTCAGTTGGTTTAGGGATCCTACCTCAGTCTCGAAAGGGCTGCTCGGCTGGGGTGTCCCTGGCTTGACTTGGTTGTTGTGGAATCGGGGCTGGTTGTTTTGGGACTGTTTGCACCGTCCGCACTTTTTCGTGGATCGTCGGGACTGGTCGACGTCGGCATTCGCTATGCCAGTGTCTCGCGCCGCAGAACTTGCAATTGGACGGCGGAAGAGGTGCATTCCATGCACCTGAGCGTCGGGGTGTGCTGTGGTACGGACCCGACATTGTGGGTGGTTGATCTTCTCTGGATCGCGTTGCCGGTACACTGGGCCCGTGGATCCGCTGTACCAGGCGGAACCATTCTCCTAGGTTCTCGGGAGGTACTACGCGGACTAGGCGCTGGTCGTTGAATGGCAGTCCTTCTGTCAGCGTCTCGAGGATCACCTCTTGTGGAAGTCCTAGTTGCAATCCCATGGCGGTTTTCTCCCGGTAGTAGGTCTCTAAGTTGGCTTGTCCAGTGAGTTTCATGGCGAAATATTTCGCAAAGGACGCTTCGCTTGACTCAGGGTAGAGATCTAGGAGGATTTGTCTCACCTGGAAATAACTCCGGTCGGCCAGCCGAAGTTTCCTGAAGAGTTCCAGGGGTTGTCGCACCAGGTAGTTTGGTAGGCGCAGTAATTTTTCTTGTTCTCCCATGGATGCGTCTTCCATCTTTCGGTCGAATGTCTGGAAAAACTGTGTCGCGCTGTATGTGCCGTCGAAAGGCGGGATCGCCGATTCCGCTCCATCAGAAATTTTTGCACGGGTTAGAAGCGTTGACAGCTGATTGACGGCGTCCGCTAGGGGCGCAGTTGTCTCTCGGCCGATCACCTCCTGTCTTTCCCTTGCCGATTCGCTCTCTCTTACTTCTTGCCTTCTTTCCATTGTTTCCGTTGGATCGTCTGACTTTACGCCTGTGGGATCCTGATTTAATTCCATCTCACTATCCTGTCGACTTAACCGGTCTGTGGCAATATCGTTGCGGGGTTTCTTGTTATTGGATGCGAATGGTGATATTTGATTGAAGCGCAGCCGTTTGAGTGGAAATTGCAGCATACAGTTAGGAATAATCAGGACACGTGATTGTTTTGAAAATTAAAGGTAACTGGGTTGGAGGGAAGAAAGCTTGAGAAGGCGGAGCGATTTTGATTGTTAATTAACTGATCACATGGTGGTGATTGTACTTAGCTATGAGCTGAGTGGGGAGAGGTCCAGGGCCGATGTCACCTCGTTGGAAGCGAAGGAGCAACTGATCCGAACTCGGTGAGAGCCAAGTCGCTACTGCAGGTGTTGTTCCTATGAGAGCTAAAACACTACTGACAATTCTTGTCTTTTGATTTAACACCACGAGTCAGTTTTTCTCTGATTGGTTGAGAGATCTCACATGATCTTTTTCTATTGGTTGACCTACTTAAGGTGCTATCTTCTGATAGGCCGGCGGCTTCCCTTGATGAAAGCTGTGCCCTGTTTGGTATATCCAATTTCGTCAGGAAGTGTTTGGTGGCTTGACGCTTATAGTTTCGAAGGATATTAGACACGTCCTGTTTTTGCCGGAAGTACTGGATGTCTCTCAAACTTTTATAACTTTTGGTCACTCGACACGTCCTGTTTGTCAGGAAGTATTGAGTGAATCTTGGCTAAAATAACTTCTGCGGTCACTAGAGACGCCCGGTCTCTGCCCCTGCAGTATTGACACAGGGGTGCCCAGAATAGTCGTGCCAATCTTAGATCTACTTCCTATATCTTAATGCTACTTGCTTCCCTCCAGTTACCTTGTTCTTTATTAAGTCTTTGAAAATCATACATGGTACATACATAGTGGGTCGGGGTTGCATTTAATTATACACAAATTATGACATTTATTTATTTAGATTTGGTCTTATTACCTTGTTTTTATAATCTATAATCCAAATTGTGCCTTATCATTTTTATAGACTTCAATGGACCTAAGAAGTTATTCTTCCTATGAGCTGAAGGAAATGAATTCCAAAGTCACTATTTATTTATTTGGATTTGGTCTTATTACCTTGTGTTTGATACAAAGACTTTTTTGTAGATCAATAACATCCTGTAGGGAATACATCCATGCACTTAGACTATCGGTAAATGATCTAAATGTGTGTGTGTGTATGCCCTTGACATGTTGCCAGATATCTTGATGCCTTTGTTCCTGTCCAACTTTGTCGGAGTGGCTTTCAGCCGTTCCCTGCACTACCAGTTCTACGTGTGGTACTTCCACACCTTGCACTACCTGCTCTGGAGGCTGCCCCTACACTCTGTTAAACTACGGTGAGTTGTATCTTCTATTACTAGTGTTCATTCATTTAACTTTTGGATGAAGTAGTACGATTCTCAACCCCAAAACTACATCATTGACTACAACAGGCCATCTCAATCCATTGAAGATAGAAAATAACAACAAAATCTACCCCCCTTGCCCAAAATGTAGTTTGTCACCTGCAGTTCCAGAATACAATTTTGGCTTGCATTAGATGTACTAAACAGGACCTTTGGGAGAGGCCACTGCTTATCATAAAACATCTCGAGGAGCATGAACTCATGGTATTCGTGTAATCTTTATACAAGGGGATAAAAAAACAACAACATCATTGACTGTGTTGACTTATCTATTATTTATGGGGGTCGGTGGTCGGATGGTCAAAACCGTTGGTTTTCGACCACTACGACCCGGGTTCGATTCCCGCATTGGGCACTTTTTTCTGTTAAAATAAAATGCTCCGATGACCCTGATTCTTGCAAAAGTCCAACCCTACCAGCAAGTGCAAGTAAGCAAATGAGGCTCTGGCACATTTGTAAGTGCAAAGTCGAACTGCTTTTCACATGTGTAGACATGTGGTGCACTTACAGTAAAAGCAGTCGCCTACTTCTACCCACCATGATTATCATGGCCTGTACCACGTGTAATTTGGGATCTACTGTCTCTTTTTAAAAAATAGATGACCGGCGACATCACAAAGACTTTCAACTTCCTTAAGTTTTGTCCATAAGTGTATA